ACCTTGTGCTCAGACTGTGTGGTGACGTTGTGATCCACCCTAAGCTTTGCTTTGCTTTGCTTGACTGGTCTTGTGACCCCTTGTTCTCCCCCACTTTGCCTATGGGGGTGTGTTAAATTACAATATTGCGTAGGCTATAGTGGGGTAGCCCATATGGGGTACACATTGCTAGGGTTGCATATTTGTATCTCTCCCATTCATAGTTCATTCACTCTCGTTCTACTTTCCTCATTGGCTTCCAATGTACAGGAGCACGACGGTGGGAGGCGTCATGTTACGATGACCCGTACGAATTTGCCGTTACAGACAAAACTATTACACAGATGCGTGGTTGTCTTCACGCGACCTTTGCATGGTGGAGCTCATGGTGCCCTAGCAGCCTCGTTCTCTCCGTCATCGCCAAGGGTTACTGGTTGCCATGGAGCCACGGCCCACCACAACTTTTCCACGATCGCAATCATGTCGAGGCAAACACGCATGCCACGTTCACACGTACCGCCACCCAAGAACTCATAGAGACGGGTGCGGCAGTTCCGATAGCCGCAACGGAGCTTAAGTGCATAAGTCCACTTGACGTGGTCGAGCAAAAAGACAAATGTAGGCTCATTCTTGATCTGAGGAAGGTCAACGCCAACTTGATTGTCCCCAAGTTCAAGTACAGGGGGCTCAGCCGTGTCGCCGACCTGGCGCGCGTTGGGGACTGGATGTTCTCCATTGACCTCAAATCTGGTTACCATCACATCGACATCCACCCATCGTGCTGGAAGTTCATTCCCTCCACCCACGTTTCTCGATTTTCAAACGGCTCACTCAACATTCCCACCACCCACCCCAGAGTAAACCGCCTTGGTAATGCCACTCGGATAGGGTACATCTTAGCTAGTGTTATTGGATTGCACTAGCTTATGTTCAACGTTGATGCAAATGTTGTAATAAGCCATTTGTAATTAGAACGATGCCAATTGATAAGAATAAGAAAGTAAGCTTTCTCAATTTCACAATTTATACTACCGCTTCCCCAGCAGGCCCTCAGATTCGTTTTTGGCCTGTCTGATTCGTCAGACTAGTACACAATTTTAGTCTGAAAATCTCAGAGTTGGTATAAAAAAAAGGCTGAAATTTCATAGTGTCCTAAAAAAAAGTCTGATCATTCAAAAACAATGTATTCAATGTTTCATCGGAATGTAATCAATGTTTCATTCATCTGCTACCGGAACACACAACTCTAAGGGGATTTCCAATAATGTCAGAATTATATTTATTATAACTGCATGTAGTTCTAGCTGTAGTGTAGTTATTAAGTTTGTAGGTGGTGCACCTCTTCTTTTGTTTCCTATGCTATATGTTCCTTGAACCTATAGTGAAACCCATTCTCCTCCCAACTTTTCTCTCGACTCTCTCCTCCCTAGGAAAACCCACTCGATACCTAAGTTGGGCCTAGGCTCCTAAGCCTAGGCCCTAGTTAAATCTTACCATTCTCGCCTAAGATTTTGACATGGTAGCAGAGCGAGTTTCGTCCTGGCCTGTGGGCCCGCCCAATGCTTCCGCTGCTGTAATTCTGGTCACGCGCCTCGGGCGCGTGACGTTTTTCTTTTCTACCCGTCGCGGACCCGCCCCCTTTGGCGCCCGCGGCGGTGCTCTTGGCGCCCGCGGACCCGCCTTCGGCGCCCGCGGCGGTGCTCTTGGCGCCCGCGGACCCGCCTCTGGCGCCCGCGGCGGTGCCCTTTGCCGTCGCGGACCCGCCCCTGGCGCCCGCGGCGGTGCCCTTGGCGCCCGCGGACCCGCCTCTGGCGCCCGCGGCGGTGCCCTGCGCCATCGCGGACCCGCCCCTGGCGCCCGCGGCGGTGCCCTTGAGCCGCCGCGGACCCGCCCCTGGCGCCTGCGACGGTGCTCTCCGCACCTGCATTCCCTGCAGTCGCCCCTGACCTACCTGCCCCGGCTTTCTTCCCGCCCACCCCCTCCTCCTTCGTCTCCCTGCAGCCGTGGGGGGGAGGGTATGGGGGTGGCGGGTGTTAGAGTGCTGGGCCGTATCCTTCCCTTCCCCTCCTCCTCCGTTTGTTCCCACTGCTGCAGCTGCCGCTGGGGGGGAGGGTGTGAGGGTGTGGGGGAGCAGGGGGAGTGGCATCGCGGTGGCGGGTGTGAGGCAACCAGCAGCCGTCCCTCCACCTCTCCTCTCTTCCCCCCCTCTCTGCTGCTCCAGCAGCAGTGTGGGGGAGGGGAAGGAGGAGGGTGAGAAGATGGTGGAGGTGACCAGCTTGTGTCAGCCCGCCTGGAGTACCTGCTGTTGCTTGATTTATTGTTTGTTGGTGTACCTCTGCAGGTTGTGCTCTGCACTTAGCTAATCCTGCATGCAGTTACGGGGGGATGTCAGAATTATATTTATTATAACTGCATGTAGTACTAGCTGTAGTGTAGTTATTAAGTTTGTAGGTGGTGCACCTCTTCTTTTGTTTCCTATGCTATATGTTCCTTGAACCTATAGTGAAACCCATTCTCCTCCCAACTTTTCTCTCGACTCTCTCCTCCCTAGGAAAACCCACTCGATATCTAAGTTGGGCCTAGGCTCCTAAGCCTAGGCCCTAGTTAAATCTTACCATTCTCGCCTAAGATTTTGACAAATAAAACATGCTCTGACATACAGAATATATGTGTCAGGGCGAATCTTGTGGTGCGAAAGAGCGAATCTGCAATGTCTGGTCGAGTTTTCTGTGATTGGTCGAAAATTGTTGTGCTGTGACAGCGCAAATCTGTTGTGTCAGGGCGATTTTGCTATGATTGGGCGAAAATCTTGTGCTGTAAGGTTCGGATTTGCTGTGTCAAGGCGATTATTCGTCGACATTGCGAATCTGTTGTGACCCGTCAGTCCGAATCACCAGTCAAGGACGCGTTTGTACTCTGAATGATCAGAGTACAATCTCAGAAAACTCTGAACTCTCAGAGAATGACACAAGATGTATACTAGTGTGCAGAAAGAGAAATGGAAATCAGAAAAAGTTTAAACAACAACTAAAATGAAGAGTTATTAACAAGTAGAAGAAACCAGAGAGAAATTTCCTGAGAGTAACGGATATGGATACGGAATCTGACGATTAAAATATGGAAGGAAGATATGCTCCTACCTAGGGAACTAACTTTCTGAGCAAAATCGTGAAGATCAATTTAATCAAGGAGGAAGAAATCATGAAACAGCGTGGGGAAGAAAATAAGAGTTAGAACAAGAAGCTAAAACGGGAAAAAATGGAGGAGTGTGGAAAGATCTAACTGAAAGATGGAAGAGCAAGTAAGAAACATGTAAATCAAAATAAAGGAGAAACGGAAGAAAACAGAAGACGGGAAGAAGTGGAGAGAAGCAGAGAGGAGATAACAGAAGGGTAGTGCATAACCTTGCGGTGGAAGAAATCGAGGATTAGAAGATAAAACGAAAGGAAGAAGTGACGGTTAAGGTAGGAAATCTAACTTCGAAAGGGTTTTTAGACAAGAAACCAACATAACTTAATAGGTTGAAATCTGCAGCATGTCCTAACACGACCGTAAGTTTAGGAAACTAAATAGGTCGAAGTCTGCAGCAGGTCCTAACACGATTGTTACCAGGCCCTACGAAGTCAGACTTTTTTCTCTGATTTGCACAAAAAACTCTGATAGGTATTTCAGATTTTTTTTCCAGTCTACTCTGTTAATCTCTAACTTTTTTGGGCCAATTTTCAGATTTTTTTTAAGGCATAACTCTGTGAGTTCAGAGTTTTCTGAGAGTGTACTCTGATCATTCAGAGTACAAACGCGTCCTTGACTGGTGATTCGGACTGACGCGTCACAACAGATTCGCAATGTCAACGCAAAATCGCCTTGACACAGCAAATCCGAACCTTACAGCACAAGATTTTCGCCCAATCATAGCAAAATCGCCCTGACACAACAGATTTGCGCTGTCACAGCACAACAATTTTCGACCAATCACAGAAAACTCGCCCTGACATTGCAGATTCGCTCTTTCGCACCACAAGATTCGCCCTGACACATATATTCGCCCTGTCAGAGCATGTTTTATCGGAAATCCCTTTAGTGTTGTGTGTTTCGGTAGCAGATGAATGAAACATTGATTATATTCCGATGAAACATTGAATACATTGTTTTTGAATGATCAGACTTTTTTTTTAGGACACTACGAAATTTCAGCTCCTTTTTTTTATACCAACTCTTGAGATTTTCAGACTAAAATTGTGTACTAGTCTGACGAATCAGACCGGCAAAAAACGAATCTGAGGGCCTAGTTACAGACATGTTGGCCTGGGGGATTATAGGCGCACTGACCCGCTACTTAACAAACACTTTTATCCCAATGGTCTAGTGGTTGGGATTCTGACATGGTATGAGGGCGAAGGTCTCGAATTCGAATTCTAGTGTGTGCACCTCGGGCATCTCAATGCGGGGGGGTGTCAGAGATCCACTGGTGATTCTCCGATAAATCATAGGGAAGAGTTACAAGCATGTTGGCCTGAGGGGTTATGTGCGCACTGACCCGCTACTTAACAAGTTTTTTTATCCCAATGGTGTAGTGGTTGGGATTTTGACATACAACTCTGTCATGGGATGACTTACAGATTTATAGCACCGTTTATGGAACCTGCAGCAACAGTTGGGATGGTACACGTGTTAATTTAGTCTCAACTCAATACGCTCAAGTGGGGGTTCCCACAAGGAAAAAGAAAAGCCGAAAGGGAGACAAGATGGACAGGCACAAGCAAGAGCAAAACGTTGAGCACAAGAAACATGTGCAGAAAAATAGGGCAAGACGTTGAAATGCAGGGGATAGGAGGAACAAGGACATCAGCCGGCCTGAACCTACCCTGGTTTGATAAGGCCTGAACCTACCTTGGTGGTCCCGAGCTTGGCTATGCTGCCCTTGCCAATGCTCCGCCAAGTTGTGGAGCACAGCAGCCGTAAGAATCGGTCACAGATTCATCTCCAGGCGGCCACAGCGAGCATCCAGACCAATTCCATGCTCATTTCCAGGCGGCTATAAAGATCAACGGCACGCCACGCCAGCTGAGCTGCAGGGCGCCGGTTTCTGCATGCACTTCCAGCCAGAACCTCTTGTCCCTGCCCTCTGTGGCCTCCCTCCCAGCAGCCACTGTGTCTGGCCCTATCGGCACCAGATCCAGCCCCACGACTCTCATCCGATGCACCCACATGCCCAGCTGCTCCGACCGCACATACCGGTTCATGCCCTCGCATGCCACCCCATTTAGAAAATCCCGCGCGAGGATGGTTTCCGCGACGAAGCGCGGCGTGGCGGCGTGCGGCATGGAGCAGTCGAAGGACTCAACGAACGCGGCAAAGTTCATGAATGAAGCGTGGAAGCGAGAGAGGAAGAAGGGCCCGTTGGCGTCGATGTCGTTCTCCACCTGCAGGAGCAGCAACGGTCGTAGCCCGCGGATCCACTTGAGGATGGAGTTGCGGGGGTTGGAGCGAAGCACTGTGTCGTCTGGAAAGACCATGAGGCCCCAACTGGCCAGCACTACAATCTCCTCCCCTGGTTCGACCTCCACTAGTGACGGGTGGAAGTCCTGGGGGGTGGTTTCTATGCCGTGGAAGGTGAGAGGGAGGTCCAGCATAGATGCCACCTGCTCCAGGTACTCCTTCCCCAGATGCACCAGGCCTGTCGGAAATTCCTCCACTTTTACCACCCCGAAATCAATGGCCGAGACTTTCACGAGCGGTGATGCGAAGGTGGGGAAGGGAGCAGCGGTGGTAAACCTGCTGCTGCCTCCACCAGACGCACCTGCTGCGGTTGCGCCTCCCTCAGATAAACCTGCTCCAAACGCCCCTGCTTCGCCCTGAGCACCGATCGCGTTGTCACCTGCTGCACCTGGTGCCGCCCCTGCTTCCCCCGCCGGGACGCCACTTGGCGGAAGGTCATTGGCAGTGGTGGGGAGGAGTGGCGGCGTGGAGAAGTGGGCGGCGAGGCGCATGAGGATGTTGATCCAGTGTGGCCCGCCGTAGAATCCAACGGCTATAATGTGCAGCCGCCGCCGCTGCGCGGACTGGCCGGTAAAGGGAGAGGTGGCGACAGGGGGAGGGGCAGGCTGGGCGGGAGGCACAGGGGCGTGTGGAGCGTGTGGGTGGGTGGCAGCCGAATGGGGAGCATGGCTGTGGGGAGTGGCGCTGTGGGTGGGGTGACTCTGAGGGTGTGCATGTGAGTGTGCGTGTGTGTGTGGTTGGTGCTGGGTGAAGGCGCGGACGACTTCATGCACGGCTGCAATGTTGGCGAGGTGCATGAATGCCGGCACTCCATGCTCTCCGCCATGGCCCAACGCTGCCATTGAGTCCTGCTCACATGAGACAGGGGACGCAGGGTTGCATGGGACGCATGGCATACATGCATGGGATGAATGGGTTGAATGGCATGTGTGGGGCACATGGTGTGCACGGGGCGTGCAAGCTTAGCACACACGGAGGCTGCCCGAACAGAGATCTCCAAACCAAAAAACACGCAAAAGCTGGAATCCCGCTTGAACATCTGAATACCCAAACTCGACCGATACACACGCAAATGCTAAAACATGTACACATGCGACCCGGAGGGAGAAGGGGGGCCGGAAGGGAAGGGGACTACCTCAACAGAGACGGCCATGGGGGTGCAATTATCGAAAGAGGGGGGAATGTTGGGGGCAAGGGGAGGGGTAAGGGGGGGGTGAGGGATGGGGGGAGACACTCGGGCTAGCCTCTGTGAATACTTGAACTTCTAAATCCCAAACCCGACAGATACACGAGCAAAAGCCAAAACATGTACAGAACATGGCCCCAATGGGAAAGGGGAGAGACGGGGAGGGGACTACCTGAGCAGAGATGTCCATGTGGGTGCACTCATGGAAAGAGAGGGGGGTGAAGAAGAAGAGGGGTGGCGGCAAGGAGAGGGGCAAGGGGAGGGGAAAGGGGAAGGGAGGGGGGCAGGGGTGAGGTTTGGTTGGAAGGGGGCACGGTTGGGGGTTGGGTGGAAGGGGCAGGGTTGGCGGTTGGGTGGATGGGGGTAATGGTGGGGTGGGAGGGAGGGACAGGGCAGCACCTCAACGGTGACGTTCATGGGGGTGTGCATGCGGACGAGTGCGGTGCCATCCATGCGCGCCTCTAATGCCTCCAGCGCGTGGAAGGCAATGCGCTGCAGCGTGTCCCCCCCGGCAGCCGCCTCCCTCCGTAACTGGCGCATGAACTGCCGCCACCGCACCTGGTGGGGTAGTGGCGGGGTTTGGTAAGAATGAGTGGGGATGAATAGGCGATTTCAAGAGCTTTTGGGAAAGACTACCATTCCCCCATCCCCACCACCTTCCGAAACAACAGCCCCACGCACCGAGTCATCAACGGCCATGGCTTCAGCCATGGCCATGAGCTGCTGCTTCAGCATGCCCTCCCTCGCGCCACTCATGGGGCCTAGCAACAACCCGTCCACGTGCAGGGGCCTCTCCGGGCCCACCCCTGCCACGTGGGCTGCAGTGAAGGACGCCCTGCTGGATGCACTGCGCGACAAGCTGCTCAGGGCAGTGCTCGGCGCGCTGCTGTGCGCTGACCGGTGGCTGTGCCGCCCGCCGCTGCTCAGTACGCTGCTGTGCGTATCACTCTGCGACGCTGCTGATCCTGCTGCCGCCGCTGCTGCTGCTGCTGCTACTGCTGCGGCGCCTGCTGTTGTTCCTGCTTCTGCTGCTGCTGCGGCTGCCTGCTGCAGCTGCATGTGATAATCCTGACGCTTCTCGTTTTGCCACTTCTGGTTTTTGTGGTGCTGCTGCTGCAGGGGCAGCTGCAGGGATTGAAGGTAGTGATAGTAATCACCTTGCTGCAGCAGGTGCGGAGGCCACCGCGCCCCCTGGTCCAAACCAAAAGCAGCAGCGCTGCTGGTGGGAGGAGCAGCAGAGGCGAGCGGTGGTGTGGGCATGAGAGGCAGAGCGCATGTGAGCCCTGTGAATCCGCCCAGCGCCTTTGTGCCAGACACGGCGGACGCTGCTGCTGCTGCTGCTGATGATGATGATGATGCGCCTCCTGCTGCGACTGCAGCTGCTGTTGCTGCTGTTGTTGGTGGTGGCGGGATTGTTGCGGCTGCTGCGGAGGATCCCGGCGGCGGGGCGAAAGGCCGAGGTGCAGCAACAGGCGCAGAGGCAACGGGAGCTGCAGGCGCAGCGGGGGAAGGAAGGCCCGGCTTGGGCAAGCGCGGGAGGGGAAGCCGCGGAAGGGCAGGGCGCGGCGGGTTGATGTTTTGCAGCACGGCGGCGAGGCGGGAGGAGAGGTCCGGGGGGCGCCGAGGCAGCTTGCACGGGGGCGGAGCGGAGGGAGGGTCGGCGGACGGCCCTCTGAGTCCACCCACTCCTATATCACCGCCGCCAAGGGAGGGTGAGGGGCGCTGCGCGAGAGAGGAGCGCTGGGGGGTGGGACGGGCATGGATGGCGGATGGGAGAGGACGCGTGCTGGCGGTTCTGCTGGACTGAAGGGCTCCCTGCTGCTGCTGCTGCTGCTCCTGCTGCTGCTGCTGTTCGCCCGGATCGTGGTATCGCACTTGCTGCTGCGAATGCTACTGCAAATGCAGCTGCGACTGCTGCTGCGGCGTCTGCTGATGCGGCATCGGCGGCTGATTTTGCACGTCGTCCTGCTCTAGCAGCAGCAGATGCGGCGTCTGTGCTTGCTCGTGCTGCACCTGCTCCAAGCGGCCCCTCGCCCGCTGGAACGCCGCTGGCGCTACTATCACCGCGTACAGCCTATCCGAAGCTTCCTCGAAGGTCAGCACCTGCGGACCTGAACCGTCAGGCTGCAATGCACGCAGAACGGATGCTGACATGGCAGGGAAACCTTGTTCTGATCCCCCCTGCGCATCCCGAGGTGAATCAGGAAGCCACGTGAAGGGGCCAGCCTGCCCTGGCAAGCACATGTCTAAATCTCTGGCCGCAAGATTGCTGCTTGCAAGCACGTTCCCCGCGTCCGGGACATCATAACATGCTTCCGGACGTAATAAATCAGCCCTTCCTACTGGGTCGTTCTCAGGCGTGGCTAGGTCATGTCTATGGAGCACTCCGCTCGCGTCCCCCGGCGTATCGATGAAATCCGCGAAGCCTGATATATTCGCACGTGCGTGTGCTTGTTCAGCAGATACGTCCGCACACGCCTCGCGTGTGTCTGTTTGTCGCACGGAATCTCCGCTATCAAACTGATTCCACCTCTCCGTCTGCTCCGCAGGAAAATCGTCCAATCGCAATTCGCGACTAACTTCGACTTGGTCGCGTACATGAACATAGTCTGTGTTAGCGTCTCCTAAAAGCGAATCACGTATAGCAGCATCGTCGACTATCGGAACGTCCCCTGTAGGAACGTCGCCTATCAGAAAAGCGAGTGACGGATCTAGAGGAATGAACGGTGCGTCCGGAAGGGGTTGCGCCTGCGAGTGCGGGTAGGTGGAAAGCGGAAGGTCAGGTAGAACGGCGCCGTCGAACGACAGCCAGTGCTCAACGTCCGCTGGCGCCACGTCATCAGAGACGAAGACTGTGAATGGCTCGTCGCTCATGTTTACGCGACAGAAACGATTGTAGCGGTCGGATCTTGGAAGTCACAGGCAGCAGCGTGTATGGCTTAGTCGTACAAACGAGGCGATTCCCTCGTTGAAGGACCAAGCAAATCAGCCATGGCCTGGAAGCGTGGTGTATTGATCAAGAGCATCGGTACAGTAGTACTGTAAATACAATGTCGAGTCACAACGCGCCCTGAACCTCGATCCCACACTTCACTTTTCACGACGGCCTTTCGCTTTCGCATTGAGCTGAAGAAATCAAGCACCGCAATTGGGTGCGAAATTCGGCCATCCGATAGGCTATGCGCTAGGCTCGAGCTTGGAACACAGCACCTTTACGGGGCCCTCAGGGAACCTGCCTCCCAGGCACACAAGAAAGATGTGAAGCTCAAGCAGCGGGTGCAAATGCAAAGCACAAGCACAAGCACCACAGAAGTTATCTGGCGCCGAACCTGTGGAAGAACAGGCTCGGCCTGAATTTCTCGATTCTGGGTTTATCCCGCGCCGCTTTCAATCATTCTGCTTCCCGACCTCCACCCAACCTCGATGCCCGAGTTCCCTCTAAGGAAAATTCCTTTTCCTTCGCATCCCTGCTCAACGCGTACACCACTATAGCACCACAGTCAGCATCGACAATCCGCCCGCCACCTTCGCACATCACACCCCGACCTCACGGCTCGGCGGATAACCTGCGCTCCGGGCCTCCGCTTCGACACTTTTCCCAACCTCAGTCCTAGGCCCGTCGCGCGACAACCACAGTCCATTACCACTGTAGTTTCGCTAAATATTCTTCGCTCATGCCTCCGCTCATTGTACTCTTGCTTCGATAGTGCAATTCTCGTTCGTTCACTCAATTGCACTCGTAACACTTGGTATTCAGAGCCTACGATCCCCTCTCGGACCGCACCCACACCTTCGCTTCCCCACTATCTCATTTTTTTGGGGGGGTAAACGTCTCTCAGCGACACAGCACCACCGCTCGTAGTGCTCTCTCGTAAGCACACACGGCCACGACCGAGGCTCTCGCTGAGCTCGCCCAACACCCCCGCCATGGCCGAATTCACGCTCGCCACATTGACGCAGGAGCAGCTCGACCGTCTGGTGCGCCAACTTGAAGATTCGGCGCTCGAAATTGCGACGCTCACGGCGGAACGTGACTCCGCGCGTCAGCAATCAACGATGAACACTCCAGCGCCACCACAAGCACCGACAAACGCATCTGCACAATCGGACGAGCCGATCGTCATCTCGTCTGGCACACCAACACAAAACAACAGCGTGGGACAGCGCTCAGGCACAGCCAGCGATGGCGCCGCCCAGCCGATGCCTGGCATGGGAGGAAACAGGGTCGCACCAAGCCCGCGGGAGCCTCGTGAAGCCCGTCGGCACGTGGAGTTCGCGGCAACAAGTGGCGAACAGGCCATTATGACACCAATGCCACTCAAGCCGCAACACCCGCCCTGCTTCGACCCGAGCCAGCGTGGAGGTCCGACGGTTCAATCGTGGGTCTTCACCATTAACGTCTTCTTCGACGCGAATTACGTCGAGTCGGACGCAGCGAAGATTCGATATGCCGTTTCGCTGCTAAGGAGCCCCGCCATGGATTGGTGGCGAGTCATCGTGACGTCGCCACGCGCCTACGAGCCACCGTCGCAAGAGGAAGGGCCCACGGGTCCAGCTGTCACATGGAGTTCATTCTGCGAGACCGCCCAATACATCACGTGGGATACGTGGTGCGCAGGGCTTCGGGTGCGCTTCGAGCCGATCGCGGCTTCTATTTCGGCGCGTCAGAGATTGCACACTTGGCGGCAGCTTGGATCGGTTCAAGACTATACAAGTGGTTTTCTCGCATTATGCGAGCAAGTCGGCTACATGCACGAAGCGGAGCGGGTGGACCGTTACGTCGGAGGGCTGAAGCCGGACATCTCGCACGAAATCATGCTACGCGGGCTCTCGAACTTCAACGAGATTCTCGCGCTCGCCGAGAAAATCCACATTTTACGCCGTCCGAGACCGGGGTCCTACTATGGACATCGTCCTCGGGGACCGATCGAGCACGCCACTGTTCACGCTGTTGCGACGAATGCAGCTGCCGCACCATTTAAGGGGCGCTGCTTTGCTTGCATAATAGGCCGGGCCATCGCAAGAGCGAATGCCCAGAGGAGCTGAGCAGGGGAGGGAGTCTCCAAGGAAGGGAAACGCCAGCAGTCAGTAGGAATCGGGCCAACTACTGACGAAACTGCCTGCTCGCCCAACCCCACCGACCCTCACCGAGTCACAGTACCGATTCATGCTATCGATCGGACTCGGACGAATAAGGAGGGTATAGCGACGGATTGCCCAGTACTGATCCACGGGAAAATACAGGGAGCAGCAGTGAAGATTTTTATCGACGGAGGAGCAAGCCACAGTTTAGTTAATACTGCAACCGCACGAAAACTGCAAGTGACACTTAGCCGTTGCTTACCGGAGATACACGCACGCTTAGTCGACAGCACGCCACTTGTGAAAGAACGAGGAATAAATGCACTAGGAAACAGGTGGGTACAAGTAGGAAAACCTAAAAGTTTTGTACCCCATATTGTCTACCCCACTACAACGTACACAGACTATAACATATGAGTTTGACATACCCCCATAGGCAAAGTGGGGGAGAACAAGGGGTCACAAGACCTGTCAAGCAAAGCAAAGCAAGCTCAGGGAGGATCACAACGTCACCACACATTCCGAGCACAAGTTCAAGGCCACAAGGCCAGTTCACATGCAAGATCATATATAAAGATAAACAAGCTAGTGCAGGTATAGAAAGATCACAGTACAAGTAAGGTCAAGAAGTGAGCAAGTGAGGCCAAGTAGGCACAAGACCTAGCATCGTACAGAAGTGCTGATGATCACAATGCGGAAGTGCCTTGGTAAAGATATCAGCAGTGTTGGCCCAGAGGCCACGTAAGCACGGCGCAGCTGACCACGCTGCTGCAGCTCACGAGCAAGGAAGTAGCGAAGAGCAATGTGCTTCGTTCTGTGCTCCAGTCTGTGCTCCCGACACAAGGCCAGCATGGCCTTGTTGTCTACGTACAGGACTGGAGGAGAACGAGGCGGCTCTCCTAGGTCAGTCAGCAGGTAGGTGAGCCAGCGTAGCTCCTGTGCAGCCATGGACCCCGCGTAGATCTCAGCCTCACAGCTGGAGCCGAGAACAGAAGACAAGCGGGTAGACCGCCACGAAACAGAGCCGGAACCAAGGCTAAAGGTGTAACCCTGTGACGACCGCTGCGTAGCCTGGTCGTCAGCCCAAGAAGCGTCTGCGTGCCCAGTGAGGACCACTGAACGCCGCCCTCCAACCACTAGCCCCATGCCCGACGTACTGCACAAGTAGCGCAACACCCTCTACGGTGCAGCCATGTGCTCTGGTCGGTGTCTTCCAGGAGCAACATAGCGTGCCAAGATGCTAAGAGGGTATGCCAGGTCGGGTCGTGTGTAGGTCATCAGGTAAACGAGGCAGCCAACAGGCTCTGGGTATGGGCCACTCGGCTCTACGCACTCTCTGGAGTTCGCGGCGACAAGTGGCGAACAGGCCATTATGGCATCAATGCCACTCAAGCCGCAACGCCCGCCTTGCTTCGACCCGAACCAGCGTGGAGGTCCAACGGTTCAATCGTGGGTCTTCACGATGAATGTCTTCTTCGACGCAAATTACGTCGAGTCAGACGCAGCGAAGATTTGGTATGCCGTTTCGCTGCTAAGGGGCCTCAACATGGACTGGTGGCGAGTCATCGTGACGTCGCCACACGCCTACGAGCCACCGTCGCAAGAGGAAGGGCCCACGGGCCCAGCTGTCACCTGGAGTTCATTCTGCGAGACCGCCCAATACAGCACGTGGGATTCGTGGTGCGCATGGCTTCGGGCGCGCTTTGAGCCGATCGCGGCTTCTATTTCGGCGCGTTAGAGATTGCGCACTTGGCGGCAGCTTGGATCGGTTCAAGACTATACGAGTGGTTTTCTCGCATTGTGCGAGCAAGTCGGCTACATGCACGAAGCGGGAGCGGGTGGACCGTTACGTCGGAGGGCTAAAGCCGGACATCTCGCACGAAATCATGCTACGCGGGCTCTCGAACTTCAACGAGATTCTCGTGCTCGCCGAGAAAATCGACATTTTACGCTGTCCGAGACCGGGGTCCTACTATGGACATCGTCCTCGGGGACCAATCGAGCACGCCACTGTTCACGCTGTTGCGACGAATGGAGCTGCCGCGCCGTTGAAGGGGCGCTGCTTTGCTTGCAACAGGCCGGGCCATCGCAAGAGCGAATGCCCAGATGTGTGAGATAGAGTAGGAGCACGGCCTAGGCTTAGTAGCCTAGGCCACAGTAGGACTAGAGCAATGAGGCGCCAAGTACGAGCTACGTTGTGTGAAGGAATGGAATTGAGAAGGGAATAATTGAACTAGCAAGCAGCAGGATACAAATAGCAAACCCTAAGGCGCTGTACTCACTATTGAGTGCCCCACTGCAGGCTACACAAACAACATATTCTGTGAAGAGGAGCTAAGGCGCCGCGGAGCAGAGCAGGGGAGGGAGTCTCCAAAGCAGGGAAACGCGAGCAGTCAGTAGGAATCGGGCCAACTACTGACGAGACTGCCTGCTCGCCCAACCCCACCGACCCTCACCGAGTCACAGTACCGATTCATGCTATCGATCGGACTCAGACGAATACGGAGGGTATAGCGACGGATTGCCCAGTACTGATCCACGGGAAAATACAGGGAGCAGCAGTGAAGATTTTTATCGACGGAGGAGCAAGCCACAGTTTAGTTCATACCGCAACCGCACGAAAACTGCAGGTGACCCTTAGTCGTTGCTTGCCGGAGATAGACGCACGCTTAGTCGACAGCACGTCACTGGCCATACGGGAAAAGGTAGAGAGAGTCAAAGTCCGCTGCGGGGGAAATTTCGGGTTTACACAGGAAATACTCGCAACGACACTAGATGGGCACAATACTTTA